CCAAGGCTTTAGCCTCGCTACGTAGATGACAAGTTTGTCGTTTTAGATAAAAACGAAGCTAACAGATTCCTTGACCACCTGAACAGTCAGGACCCTAACATCAAGTTTACACAAGAGCGGTGTAAGAACGACTTGTTACCCTTTCTGGATTGCCTGGTGAAAATTAAAAGCGACGGATCTCTTTCTACCAGCGTGTATCGCAAACCAACTCACACAGATCAATACCTCCAGTTCAGTTCCCATCACCCTCTTATGCACAAGTTAAGCGTGATACACACCCTTGAACATAGAGCCAATACCCCAATCAGCCATCCGGACGAAGTAGGAAAAGAGAAAGAACACGTCAAGAAGGCATTGAATCTTTGCGGATACCCAAACTGGGCCTTGAAAAAAGCATCGAGTTCCTCACAACGTGACCATCTATGACAGGGAAAAAAAATAGGGGACTGGTCTGTCTGGACCGAGTGGATCGCGGGACTTTCGGATAACTATCCTTTACGCGACCGGTGTTTCTGATGCTATGAAGTCGGTCTTTGGATCCCTCGGTTTCGCCACCACTTTCAAGCCATATAACACCCTAAGGCAGAAGCTGGTAAAGGTAAAGAATAAGCCCCACAAAGATAAGATCTCACATGTGGTTTACGGGATTAAGTGTGGTGATGAGAACTGCCGTGAAACCTATGTTGGAGAGACCAAACAGGCACTGGGCTCGAGAATGGGGCAGCACAAAAGGCCCAGTACCATTCTTACGAAGTTTGGGACACTCCTTTGGTCTAAGCGATGTGGAGATCTTGGACAAGGAAGAAGACTGGGTCAGACGTGCATGGCATCAAAGAAGCTGTTTGGGAGAGGGTAGAGGAACCTTCTCTTAATAAGAAAGGGGGTTGCAGCTTGTACTATTACACACGTGGGACCGTGCGTTACGGAACGTGCCGAGTTAGCTATGACGTGACGCTTGTGTGACCTAGACTGACTCAGCAGTTTCCTGATGAAGGCCGTGTGATATGGCCGAAACGTCGATCGTTCGTCTATAATTTTCCAGCGTTTGGATTGTGTTCTTTTTATCATATTCTCAACTGGATGACTGATACAATTCATAGCCATATTTGTCGAAGTAAGATTTTGAAGGGTGCAAGTTTCTAATTGTATCGCATCAGTACGGGATATAACAAGATGATTTGATTTTATCAACTAAGTTGTAAATTGGCCACTGGAAAGTGTTTCCATATTTTAACTCTGTCGCGTTTCCCTCCGCTCGATAGTACACCAAGGTTAATTGAATAAACGTGAAAAAAGAACGACAACATGACGACGACGAAGAAAAAAAAATCAAATGGAGAGAGAAAGCTTTTTAATAGTCGATCATGCGTTAACCACAAAAGACAGAGTTCCCTAATGCTGAAAAAAACTAAACTTGGCGGAATTGGTGCTTTTAAGCGCCTTTTTTAAAAAAGAGGTTCGAGCACATCTTAAAAACCAGTCCTTGATTTGTAGCCGCCACATTTAGAGATTTAATGACAAAAAAATAGCCACAACTGCGCAAAGTTTGTTTTCCAAACTGGTTTCTCCAAACCATCTCCGTGTAGCCAATGTTTATTTGAATATCACAAGGTCTTATATTTGATCTTTGTGAGCAGTCTGTGCGACCAATGTGCGTGCCTACGGCAATCCTGGCTTCTCTATCCACACTAAACCGACAACTATCACTTTTTATCACCCCTTTTCTTGGTTTCCTTGATTTAAAAGAAAATTGCAACAGCTCGTGTCGCTTAAAACCTTCTTTATTTTAATTAGACCACCCTTGTTTTAGCCAAATGTAAGGATCTTTTAACCCAAGGTAGGGATGTCTCCTTTATGACTATATCGTTCTTGTGATTTGATTCAAGTAAGTAATATTGTATTTAGTTTTACAACACATAGAGAAAATGAAATAATACTTTTTTTGGTTAGGTTAAAGTTCGATCACAAATATCAATTAATGAAGGAGATGTTTTGTCATGGAAACCATGAATTGGGCTGTATATTTTTTTGAATGCTCAGCAATTTTAATATGCACAAATAATGAAATTTTTGAGTAACTGGTAACATTAAACCGCTACCTTTTTCTCGTTAACATTCATTTCTGATTCAAATACTATCAGGCCTCGATAGTATTTACCATGGATAGCATTGACTTTGGCTTTAGCTTCTCTGGGCTCCTTTGCAAAGAGTGGATTATCATTGTTTACAACAGTGTGAATTTTTATTGTTTACAACATTGAGTGAGTTTTTCTGACATGCAGTAGCGGGCAACTCACGAGAGTTCGAAGGTTGACCTGAGGATGATGCAACAGCGCTAGCGCTTTTTTTATAACAACTATAGAAATTCTAGCGCGCTGATTGGTCGAAAACCATTATCAATAGCGTTATAGATCATAAAAACGACAGTTGTAATTTTGGGTAAGCTATCACAGTTGATTGATGACGTATCTTATTTTCCTCTGTCGCCATGTCAAACTCGCGCGATTTTCCGAAAACTTTGCCGAATCAAACCGACATAAAATTTCGTTGTTATTGTAGAAAACGTATCTACCTCGATTTTCCATCGTTATAGCCCTATTAATCAAAGAAGTGACGTCAATAACGTAAGTTGCCACTTTCCGAATTTAAGCAGATCTGCATACTCCTACAGTGACGGCTGAATTCATTCGAGTATGACCTACTCAATAAATTAATGTTTAGTGCGCACCCAAGCGTTTTGTTTCTCATGCAGAACGTCCTTGATTCGAAGTAGATATTTCTGGGCTGAAGCTTTGTGCAAAATGGCTTGTAATAATGAAATTGAAACTAGAGTTTACCAGGCTGCTCGTGACGGTTCTGCTCAGGATCTGACAGATATTTTAGAGAGGCTGAACGTCGACGAAAGGACAACTGCTTTGGAAACAAAGACAAAAGATGGCGACGACCTTGCCACTCCTTACATCATTGCTGCTCGTAATGGACACTTGGATTCTGTAAAGATTCTTCTAAGATACAAAGCAAATATTGAAGCCCGAGGAACTTTGAAAGTCAGCATCGGTGATTATACAGAGATTACCGAGGGCTGTACAGCTTTATGGGCCACTGCTGCATATGGTCATCTCAATGTTATGAGACTGTTGATCGAACAAAACGCCGAGGTCGACTGTAGAACGTCGGCGGGTTCAACTCCCTTGAGGGCTGCTGCCTTCTATGGATGGCTAAATATTGTGGATTATTTGGTTGAGAACGGGGCCGATATAAATGCACGCAAAAATCGCGATACTACCCTTCCAATGGCAACCTGTTACAATGGCCACATGGATGTTGCTTCTTATCTTGTCGAACATGGCGCAGATATACATCTACAGGACACTCGTGGAAACACATGTCTTTACTATGCTGCAAAAGGAAAACACGTTGAGATAGCTGGTAAGCTGCTTGCTTCAGGTGCGATGCAAAACCAAAATCGTCAACGTTTTAAGCTACTTCTTAAAGCTTGTGATGATTGTAACATTGAAATGGTGGATTGTTTCATCAACCGACCAGAATGTACAAAGAAACAAAGAAATGATGCTCTTGAGCTTCTTGGTGCCACGATTGCTAATGATCCCGATGCTTATGACATTGAAAAAGCATTTAGTTTCATGAAGCGAGGAATGGAGGAGATGTATGAGGACCCGTCATGTCCATTGCTTAAAGAGGAAATTAAACCAGTAGAAGCTTATGAAAATAGAGCAGAAAGTCAAACTCTCGAGGAACTTTCTCTGTTATCAGTTGATGATCATGCCATCCACATGGAAGGACTCATAATCAGAGAGAGAATCCTGGCAGCTGATTATACAGTACTTCTATACGCAGTCAGATACCGCGGAAATGAGTTAGCTGCCGCCGAGCAGTACGAACTCTGTATTGGTTTGTGGACACGAGAAATGGAGATAGGTATGAACTGCGACGCTCCAGAAACAGAGGGGCTTGAATTCCTCACAGGTACATTTGCAAGAATTATGCTTCAAAATGGACACAATGTCAGTCCACAAGATATCGAGAAAGTTTTCGAAATACTGGTCGATGGAAATAAGAAAGTGACAGAAGAGTGGAAGTCCGGAAAATTACAAGTGGAATACAAAAATAAGACACAAAAAAACAATGCTTTTTTACGCTCTCTATCTTTTAATCATGTACACAAAAATTCAAGTTTCCTCAGAGATGAAAAATGGCAATACGATTGACTTTCTCCAGAGATTTCTTTGTTTAAAACTTCGCTCCCAGCCTGAAGGAAATACTCTTCTGCACTTGGCTGTACAGCATAAAACTCCAGTTTGCAAGAATCAAGTGCAAAGAATGTGCAAGCTTCCCTGTCTAGAGACCATGAAGCTAATTTTACATGCAGGGTGTCATGTAAATGCCATTAACACAGAAGGAGACACTCACCTTCATTTAGCCGTGACTTTCGTACCAGGACCTGAAAAGGTAGAAAGTTTGAAAGAAATGCTGGAGTTGTTATTAGAAATCGGCTCAGATACTAAGGTTGTTAACAAGAATGGTCAAACAGCAATTGACTGCTGCAAGACTGACGAGGCCCGCAGGATCCTGTCCGCGAGAAGAGGACTGGGTGCCAAGAACGTCGACGCCCGAAAGGTAGGGAAAGTTTCGAGGTTTGCCTTAAATCATCACCTTAGGTATCGTTACAAGATGAAGGAATGAACTAGGATGGTTATCATACTATTTTGGTTAACTCTACTCGCCAACCTTACCTTAACCTTAACCTTAAATCTCTCTGTGCCAGGAGGCACACAAGCCTTGGACGTCTCTCCTACACTGTGTTCGGGGTGCAGCTGCATGGCGTACAGCACTCCATGTTTTCCAGCCGGCGGCGTTTCCCCCCTTTTCCACCATTCGCCGCCATGTTGTTTTCGGTGGACCTTTTTTCCTTCTTCCCTCTGGTGTCCAACCAAGGGCCGCAGCACAGTCGTCGTTCCTCTCCTTCCTTATTATGTGCCCAATCCAGTTCCATCTTCGTCTCAAGACAAGGTTTATTTGAACTGTAAAATTACCTTGGTTACAAATTAAACGAGAAATAAATTAAAAATACCTACAGTTGCTGGTCACCCAAAACAACTAAAGAGCTAAACTAGTCTCCTCACCTCCTCGCTTATCTTTCCTGCTTCTGCCATCTCGAGAACTGTCTTACTGGAGATATGTTTTTGCCATCGGATCTTGAAAATCCTCCTTAGACACTTGGTCTGGAAGGTGTCAAGCTTCTCTTCCTCTCCTTTAGTCATTCTCTAAGTCTCGCATCCGTAGAGTAGGACGGACAAGACAAGGCTCTTGAAAAGGGAAGCTTTGGTCTTTCTGCCTATGTCGCTGGATTGCCGGATGTTTGATAGTCGCTTCATCTGTGTGCTGGCCGAGGCTACTCTCTTCTTGACATAAGCTGTGCCTCCACCGTCCTTTGTGACATTTGCACCCAGATCTGTGAAGCTGTCCATCTCCTCTATTACAATTCCTCCAACCATGAACTTATCATCACTCTTGCTGTTGGCTTTCATGACTTTACACTTCTTGGCATTCAGCTTCAGTCCAGCTTTGACTGCATTGTCTTCAAGTTTTGTTGTTTTGCTCTGAAGGTGGTTCATTGCTGAGGATAGGAGGGCGAGGTCATCTGTGAAGTCCAGGTCCTCCAACATGGTTGGGAAGTTTCATCGGATCTCGGTTCGCTCACCCTCTACGGTTTTTCGCATGACCCAGTCAATCACCAGCAGGAAGACGGCTCCTGACATGCAGCAGCCCTGCTTCACTTCGGTCATTACTGGGAACCAGTCTGTTGTTTCATTTTCATCAGTGACGGAGCACTGGAGGTCCTCATAAAGGGTTTTGACCATCCGGATCAGTTTCCTTTCTTCATAATTTTGCAAATTAGTCCTTTTATCCACTGTGTAGGAGCTGTCTCTTTTTCCCAAATGAGGTCAAAGGTCCGTTTGAGTTCTTGGCTGGTTTGCACAATTTCTGCTTTTGGCATTTCTGCTGAAATTTGGTCTGCTCTAGGTGCTTTTCCGTTTTAATCTCCTGAATAGCTGGTGCTTCCACTGAGATGTCAAGCTCTTCTGTCTCTTCTTCTTCTTCTTCTTCTTCTTCTTCTTCTTCTTCCTCTTCTTCTTCTTCTTCTCGTGCTTCCTCTGGTGCATCTCTTCAACAGTTCTCCGTTCTTGTTCTTCACTGCTGCTGCTTGTTTGGTGCTCCTTACTTTCAGCAGTTTTACTATACTGTATAGTTCTTTCTGCCTTCCGTTCTCCGATGCATTCTGTGCTCGATCTGCTTTCTCTGATTTCAACCTCCTCTTTTCCTCTTTTTTCACACTCTTCTTCACCTCTTTGTCCTTCTCCTTGTATTCCTCCTTCATTCTGTTTTTGATTCTCTCTGAGCGGGTACTGTCAATCTTCTTCTTTATTCCTTTCCTTTCGTCAAAGAGTTTCTAGCTGTTGTCGCTGATCTATGGCTTGCTTTTCCCTTTTCTGAAACCGAGCACCTCTTCAGCTGACTTGACATATGCATTCTTTTGCAGCCCCCACACTTTCTCTATGTCTTCACTCTAATTTCTGGTCTCTTCCACCTTGCCTCTTACTGTCTCGCAGTACTTCTTCCTTGTCTCTTTATCGCATAGTCGTTCGACAGCAGGTCTCGGCTTGACCTTGCTGTTATCTCTGTGTGAGCTGAGACCCAACTTGATGCGAGTCCTCACCAGAAAGTTGTCACTGTTGGCATCAGCTCCTCTCTGTACGCGACAGTCTAGTACAGATGATCTCCACTGTCCACTGATCAAAAGATGGTCAATTTTATTCCTCACTCGTCCATCTGCTGCTACCCAAGTTGCCTTGTGAATGTCTTTATAGGGAAATAGTGTTCCTGCTATAGCAAGCCCATTCAGCTGACAAAACTCGCACAATCTCTCTCCATTGTCGTTCTGTGTTCTAAGTCCATGTACGCCCATAGTCCTCTCATTACCATTGGTTATCATTTCCAACCTTTGCGTTGAGGTCCTCCATGACGATGATGATGTCATTCTTCTTGCAACCGTCAATTACTTCCTGTAGTTCTTGGTAGAACTGTTCCTTCTCCTCGTCTTCTCTTTCATTGTGTACGGCGTACACTTGAACAATAGTCAATCTCCTGCAACTTGAATAGAATCTGGCTGTTATAATCCTCTTGTTGATGGGGGTCCATTCCATGGGTGACTTCACTGCTTCCTGGCTAATCATGATGGCAACACCACCCTCGTGCAGTTCGTCATCTCCGCTGTAAATCAGTGTCTGTCCCGAAGCCATCTTTATCCTGCCTGCTCCTGTCCATCTGCACTCGCTAATTCCAAGGATGTACAGCTGGTACCCCTCCATCTCTCTCGCGATCTGTGCTGGAGCCCCTCCTCTGTACATAGTCCTCACGTTCCAATGTCCAATGGTGAGGGTTGTTCTGGGGCTTGCTAAGGGTTTCGACGGACGGCGAGCTTCCTGAAGGCTTTGACCCATGGTCGGCATGGTGCCGGTGCCGGTGTCGGCGATCCCCGCTCCCCCTGGTCTTGATTCATATTGACGTCCGTAGTTTCTGTAACTGATGACTTTTTCCAGGAGTAGGTAGTTAACCTCATGCCCAACCCCAATGCTTTGAGGACCAGGGCTTTCTGTCAGGGTTTTCCTTCCCTTAGACTGCGATGGTCCACGACTCCGTTACAGAGTACCCTCCAATCCACCACCCAGAAGGACGCGCCTCTACACCGTGCAGTCCCAGCATGAGGCTACTTGCCAACCAGCTAGAATAAATTTTCGTGCCTAAGACTCAAGAAAAAAACGTCCCTAAGAAATTATTGTACGGCCTATAGGACGATGGAATTTTTTGCAAACATTAACAAGACTTTAGAGCTCATTAGTCTTAATACTGTACAAATTATATTACGCCGAAAAGATTCTACAATTCTATTGATTTTAGTGGTGAAACTAAAGGATAAAAGGCGGATGCTACAGCACCTGTTTAATTAGTTTGCAGTTGTTCGTTACATTTACTAAAATGTTTTAGTATCCATCATAGTTCCTTTCTGCTTTCCAATTTGAGGGAAAAGACACAGCAGTTGACAAAATTCCAAGAGCAACTATGAGAAAGAGATGGAAAAGTGAGAGAAAGACACAGCTGTTGACAAATTTCGAAGAGCACCAACGAGTAAGAATTCGAAAACAGAGGGAGAAGATACAGCACTGGAAAATGTCCAACAGCAACGACAAGAAAGAGATGAGCAACTGAAAGAGAAGACACAGCAGTTGGCCAATGTCGAAGAGCAACTAAAAGAAAGAGATGGACAACTGAGAGAGAAAACACAGCAACTGACAAGTGTTGAAGGGCAACTAAAGGAAAGAAATGAGGAAGTCACCTCATTGGAAAGACTGCAGAGGGCCAAAGAACAGGAAATACACGAACTAGAGACAAATGTCTTAGAGCAGCTACAAGAAAGAGATGAGCAACTGAGAGAGAAGACACAGCAGTTGACCAATGTCGAAGAGCAACTAAAAGAAAGAGATGGACAACTGACAAGTGTCGAAGGGCAACTAAAGGAAAAAAATGAGGAAGTCGCTTCATTAGAAAGACTGCTGAGGGCCAAAGAGCAGGAAATACACGAACTAGAGACATCTCTATCAACAGCTCGGCGAGTGTTATTAAGCGAACGTTTACGCCAATAGTCACCTGATTGGGTCATTTCACGTGATCAGATTCAGCTGACGGATAAATGCCTCGAAAAGGGAGGCTGGGGAAGTGTTGTCGAAGGCAAATATTGCGGCTGTGCCGTCGCCGTCAGATAGATGTACGAGTTGATCCTTTCTGATTTCAACCGTAGACTGTTTGAGCGAGAAATGAACATTGCCGCTAAATGCCGCCATCCTTGTTTGCTGTAGTTCATTGGAGCAACGAACGAGGAAGGGAGTCCCTTGTTTGTAACAGAGCTAATGGAATCGAGTTTACGAGCAGTATGAGAGCAGCGCTCTCTCTCACTTCAACTGAAGTGTCTGTCATTTCACTGGATGTGGCTCGAGCATTAAACTACTTACATCTAAAGAAACCATATCCCATCATTCACCGCGATATCAGCAGTGCCAGTGTGTTGCTTTGGCGAGAAGCTGACCAATGGTGAGGCAAAGTGTCGGAGTATGGCACAGCAAATGTCATGCAGCATACCATGTCAGTTGGTCCCGGTGCTGTGATATACAGTGCTCCTAAACCACATACTAAAAATCAAACTGCAAAGGTATGCCTGACATTTTTACATTAATTTAATTTCTCAATTTTAGATTTGAGTTTATAGTAAGGTATGTTCACGATAAGATGTTACATCAATTTGCAGAGGGTGAGGACAAAATATCGTGCAATTCCTGGCTAAAAAAACCTGTCGGTTGCTTTTATGTATCATTGGCCTTTAAGGTAACTTGTAAACTAGGAGGCCATAAACAAGTTCCTTAGGAAAAACTTTATTTCAATCACCTGAAAGAACGAACCTACTTCCCTTTCGAATGCTTATCCACCAAGCAACAATACGCACACTGCTTGTATCAGCGATGAGGGAAGATGCCTTTGCGAAGAAATCATCTAAAGGAAAAAAAAAGCACGAGAATCTCAAATCAGTTAGAGCACATAAATCTTGAACCATATCACAGTCAATGATAAAATTCAACGTGCTGTGGGGTTGTGTCTTTTTTTTCTCGACTGTCATTTCTTTTTTTGGACATATATAGGTTGATGTGAACAGTTTTGGCGTTCTCCTTTGTGAAATGTGCATTCGGGAACTACCGGAACCTGAAAAGCGTGACGAGCAAGTTGCCATGGTGACAAACAGAGCTCTGCGAGCTCTAATCCGCAGATGTCTGAAACACGATCCTGAAGCGATATTGAGCATGGAAGGCATCATTGGTGAACTTGAACAACCTATGTAAGATTGGTTTTGAGAAGATTTGCTCTATAATTTACAGTTGTATCAAAATACCCAATTGCTAAGATCTAAGGCCTAATTTTGAGATGCTGAACTTTTCATGGGCCAAACCTAATCTGTATTTAAACGAACCAGTTACAAAATAATTTAGAAAATAAGGCCTGTTGTTGCAGACATTAAACTAAAGTGGCCACTCCGCGACTATCTTATTCATTGAGTTCAAATATTTTAAGGCGGTCTCAGGGGAAAATAACGTTATCACAATTTACGGATTGATTTCGGAATATTGTTGATGGGCATCAGAATCGAAGGTCCTCCACAGCTGAAATTCTTTGCCCAGCCAGGGATTTAGAATTGCTGAATGATTTGAGCTACTGTACTTAGGTAATGATATCTAGTTTCCTAACAATAACCGTGGTAACGTAATGCAAGAATCCTGTAGCACACATAAAGGTTAGTCTTTAAAACATTGATGTTAGTTTTAATAACGTAATAATACTAGGTTTTAAATGAGTTTGACACTTATCCACAGCTTCGGCTTGTAAACCTTTCATCGCACCTTCACAGTGTTCATGCTCTTTTGTCTTTCGCTCCAAAAGGTTTGAAAGAATGTAATTATTTTGCGTCGATACAGCCCATAGAAGGGCTCTAACGAGCGAATTGCTAATGGTAAGTTTACCCCACTAGGGTAAACTTTACCCGGCGGTAAACTGAAAGAAACGAAGCACTCTGATTGGCCAATTCGGGTAATTTTGTAAGTTTTTTATATCATTCGACAAGTCCGTGGCAGGACTTTTTCTTGGTGCAGAACGGAGAGCGTAAACGTCTTGGGGAATATACTGTGTAATGATAATCATGATTTCAATAATATAGCTTTTGATTTATTGGCCTACATCATGATTGAAATTTAGATGTATAACATAATTAAAGTAGTTCATAACCTGAGCATGTTAGTAAAAATCTCGAGTCAATGTTTTATGCTTTGTGCCAATCATACAAATATAATTGACTACAGCTTTCATTAATATTTCATTTAACTAATTCACATGAGAATCAATATGATAGAAATAGTTCAGAGAGAAATCCTGGAAAAGAGGTCAATTATTTTAAAAAGCTCCTAAGGAGGACAACTGAAGGAATGATGCTAAAAAAATACGAGGAGTGTGACAAAGGACTTGTCTACGAGAATTCGTAATCTTTAGTGTCAAAATCTAGCTATTAACTAATTTTTTGTTTTAGGACGTTGTAAAAAGTCTTTTAGTACTATACTATTTATTCCTTATCACAGGCATTGCAGAAATTTATTTGCAGCATGCTGTGATGTAAATCTCTCCAATCCACTGCCCATATTGTCCACAACCTCCATGGCACTGTATCCTGCTATCTCCAAACCGGACTTGGGTGATGTAGGTGGAACTAGCGCCAAATAACTTCAGTGCCCGCATGTGGCCAGATGACCGAGAAAAACCTGCTGGACATGATCCACTGCCAAGGATGCAGTAATGACCTGCGGGCCACTGGTCTGAGAAAAGAAATTTTCTAAGGTTAAGTTGTTTAGGTTTGTTATAGCCTCTATTTGTATATATATCTTATTAACCAAGCGCGAGGGCCGTACTGGGAGAATATCGGCCCGAGGTTTTGACAGTACGGACCTCGCTGCGCTCGGTCCGTACAAAAAAAGACCGAGCGCCGATATTCTTCCAGTACGGTCCCGTGCAAGCTTGGTTAATAAGAGATTTCTTATACGACTGATGTTCAAAGGGACACAAGTGCGGTATCATTCGGGACCATTCGGGACAGTGCCCGGTCCAATACTGAGAGAATATTGACCGCCAATAGAGCATTTTGATTGGTGGATTTTAGTTATTGGCCCTCTGACTGCCCGAGTCGTGTAATAAAATAGGATAATACTTCAGTTATCTTTGATTATGTTAATGTGATCAATTACAAGTGAAGCAATGATTCTTGCAGGTGAGCTGAGGGTGATCTCCTTCCGCAACTGAATGGCAAAACCACACGCTGAGAGTTCTTCTTTTCCCATGATCATTGCTTTATTCGATGTTCAATCCGCAGGTCAAATAGAATTTACTTCATCATAAGTTGTATCAGATTCCTCCCCGAGAAAGAAGAGTGACTCTGTAAATATGCCTCGTTCCTAACGTGTGGCTTCAAAGTTCCGTTGAAGCCGAATTTTGCAAGTTTCTTTTTTGCAATTGTTAAAATTGAATCACACCTGCGAGGATAAGTGCTTTACATGATTTTCAATGCACGAGTCGATTAAAACTGATATCATTGCCAATTGTAATAGTACAATGATTGAACTTTGTTTCCGTTTGTATTGGAAATTTCATATTGTCACCATGAAGATCATCAGCTGCATCCTAGGATTCAAAGCTCAAATAAGGGCACTTTTCCCAGACTGATTACCAGTTTTACGGTCAGTTTTTTTTTTCTTTACCTTAGCCACAGCTGTTGGCCAGGAAACTGGTGGAACAAACATAGCTTTACGTCACCGCTTTCAGTATTTATTGGATAAGTTTAAGTCTCATATTGACAATAATTACAATCAGCAGAGAAAAGATCCAAGGAACTCACTGAAACCAAAATACCGAACAAGTATTTTGATCATTACGGCCTTGAATCAGGTGTGGATTTCAAGAGAACTATAAGAGCATACAAAATTTCTGTGTGTGTGTGTGTGTGTGTGTGTGTATGTGTGTGTGTGTGTATGTGTGTGTGTGTGGGTGTTGTTATTTTTCAATTTAACTGAATATTAAAGAAAGAGGAGTAACCAAAACAAATTGCTCGAGCTCAGGTTTTTGGAGCATATTGCCAATCCACAATCCACAATCGTCCACTTATGCGTCAACAAATATTTTCATAAAGCGGATGTGAAACAATGGCATGGTTTATCCGAAAAAGTGTTGGGATATGAAGAAGCCAGTGGTATGACCCTTCTCAGAATTCAGAGGAGAACCCCCATCCCTTCCGCCCACCATATTTATTTTATAATTTACCGATTTTCTGGGGAAGGCATTTTGGTTTTTTTTCTGTCCAAGTTCCATCTTTTAAACATCGCCGCACAGATGATCCACTCAACTGATAGCCAGGGGCGCAAATGTATGAAACAGTTTTTCCTTCCCAAAATTGTTGTCCGTTAATGGCACCATGGTCTGGACTTTCCAGAGTAGGACAAATTCTGTGGCCTTGAGAGAAAAGAAACAAATAGGTTCTTAAATGAAATCTTTCCGTTGAAAGGGTACAACTGAAAAAATCGGCTTGGACAAATTAGACTCATAAAATTCAACTAATAAACAATTCGTTATTTGAGTTTTGTAATATTTACTGCTCGGGATCTCAAAACTTTGACTAAACTTCCGACAAAAGTGCCTTCCACGACCATCCTCAACTGGAAGACTACCACGCGATTTTAACAAAAGGGATTTATCTCTCTACATCAGAAAAAAGAAAACAAACCCTGCATGTTCAATGCTTTTTGCAAACTCATTTGCAATCATTGTCGATTTTTAGAATCCTCAATCCTTTGAAGGTGCTCCTTCTAAGCCATGAGTCACGCAACGCCGGGCTGTTGTAGTTTCTTATCATACTAATCCTACGTAAGAAGTTACTGTATTGGTTGCCATTTATCGCCTTAGTGGTCTGAGGATTTTGGTTGTCACCAAAAAAACTTAACTGATCTCCCCTTCCCTAAGGTTCTGTAGTATTTAATGATCCCCCTTTGGACTAAGACAAAGAACAATTAACAAAACGTGGTACTCCAAAGGTTTCCGGTGAGCGCCTTTGACTGATAGTGGAAGCTCGATTTAACGAACCTCCGATATAACGAGTTCCTCGATTTAACGAACAATACTTCAGTTTCAGCCAGGCTAAAGTTACAGTGAAATGTATGCCACAAAACCTCAATACAATGAACCCTCGATGTAACGAAACAAATTCCCCAGTCCCTTGGCAGTTCGTTAAATCGAGGTTCTACTGTATTTGTCTTACCCACATCTTTAACGAGGACCCATATCAGAGCCATCACATTTCCCAATGAGTTGACCCCACGGCAAACAAAACCTTCGCTCTCCGTTGTGTTCTTAATCGTAAGTTGCTTGCCATCTATGATGTGCCTGTTCGGGAAAAGTTGCTTCGGAGGTCTTGTCCACGTGATAACTGGGGCGGGGTAGCCGAATATGTCACATGTAAGAATAGTGTCCCAATTCTTGACACCCGTCACAAAACTCTTTGGTTGCGTGATGAATTTTGGTGGTACTGCAAACCGAAAAAAAAAAAAGGAAAAAAAACAACCTCGAATAACCGAAGCACGATGGGGGAGGGGAGGGAAGAGGGGATGAGGTATTTACTGTCTACTACGTGGGAGTCTGATGGGGTTAACTATACTAACCATTTACAGTTACATTGACCGATAAATTTGCACTCCCCAAAAGATTCTCCACCTTGCAGGTATAAATTCCTCGGTCTTCGAACTTTATCTCCTGAAATTCCAAATTCCATTCAGTAAAATGCTTTCTTCTTTCGTCTATGGGCTCATTATCTTTGTACCACTTAATAAGCGGCTGTGGAAAGCCAACAGCTTTACAAGGAAGCGTGACGCTCTGTTTCTCTCTACGGGTCACAGAAGAGGATGGTTTCGAAATAAGACGTGGAATTTCTGCAAAATAAGTACATTGGACTTTTTTTTAGCAATCCTAGATTGCTAGATCATTGTCAGTCTTATACAGGAATTTTCAAATCTTTGTGACTGGTCCAGAAAATTCGTACCACTTTGTCAATTAGTAGAATGCAAGACTAAAACCAATTGCGGCTTGTCACTGGTGTGTTCCCTTTGTAATAGTAAGAGTTACTAGAGCGGGATTGCATTTTTTTCTGATTTTGGGTGAAGGCCGTTTCCTCTTTGATTTCTCATTGGCTCTTTATAAATTTTCTTTTTGCTTGATAGGCCATTTTGTCAATTATGATTTTGGTCTGAGATGACACACATTCGAAAACTGCTTTAATAATTGTAGCAATGACGATGATACCGATGACGATTGTGGTGATAGTAATAACGATGATGATGATGATGATGATGATGATGATGATGATGATTTGAACTCGACCATGTGTTGTGTTGTTTGTTTCAGCCCCGTAGCCTTCTCCTCTTCTTGATATAAAATATTACCAGACGAGATGCTCATTGCAGGAAGTGGGGGGTAACTTACCTTCGATGGTGGATTAGCTTTAAATCCTCCCCCGCCCTCTTCCACTGAGATCTTCATTCAAAGATGGTTAATTTTAACTTCCGTTATGAAATGAAGAACAATAGAAAAAACATCAATAGGATTAAATACAAATATCATCAGATTACCCAATTTGTCTCCATCTGATGGCGATTTTCCAGGGGGTCCCGGTAATCCTCTCACGCCCCGCTTTCCTTGGGGACCTGGTACGCCCCTTGACCCCTTCCTTCCTCTTTTGCCGCTCGGTCCTCGAGGACCGGGACGGCCTGGTGGACCGGGAAGGCCTGGTGGACCTTGGTGACCTTGGGAGCCTTGAGGTCTGACTGGAGCTGGTTCAATAAAAATATGAAAGAGTGAGAAGTGATACTTACGTGCCTTTCAGCTCGGTTTATAGATACGATTTTATCTTCTATATGTTTCTTTGCGCTTTTGTACTAGGAATATTGAACGAGAGTACGATGACAAAAAACCAACTGAACAGGAAAGTAGATCTCACCCTGTACGCAAACCATATTTCCGCTCGAAGTCGAATCTGGAGAGTGAAAAAAGAAAAACAATTTTTTTTCTTTTCAGAAATTATCATCTTGTTGTAAGAACACTTCAGCGTCGTAAGCTCTATGAGTTTGCATTTAAATCAAACCAATCAAGAAGGAAGAAAATCATTTGACGAATTTGCAATAGTGCATATTTCAAAGCCAGGTTTGTTTACATCCGCAATTATTCCAGGGAACGCTGACAAAGGTCGCTGAGATCCTTGATATCAATACATAAGCCTTTGCGCTTTCCAAATAAACAACATTAATGCGGAAAAGTTGAGAAGAAATCAGTTCCGAAATGAAGCCGAATGAAGTTGTGTTTAATTTTTGTCGCTATGTTTCTAACTATGCCAGCTGCAAATCAGGTTTCGCTCTTGAGACATGCTAAAACTTATTTTGGACCAACAACTTCAAACGCTGCTTTCTATGTTTTTTAAACAGTATTCTACTCAAGGATTGCGCTCTTTCTACATGATTAACAAGATTTCTTGGGTGAATCCGGACTTAAGATAAACAGTCTGTTGATGATCAAAGTGTGCGTGCATTAGTTTCTAGACTTTAAATCTATTTATGAGGAACGTGACAAAATTTTTATCATTCTAACGCTGTTTGCGGAAATCAGTTATCTCTAAAATTAAAATCAAGCTTTACTTGAAAGTACCTAAGTTGGTGTATCAATGAAAAATACTTTGCAAAACTAGTGAAGATTAAATATAAAAAAAATAAGTTAAAGAAGTGGATTCAGTCGGTGTTATGATCAGCGTGATAGCGAAAGTAGAGTCCAAAGTTGAATACATTGACAACGTACACTGTTCTTGCTCAAACAGATTAAATCCGGTAAACTTCTCTTTCTCATGTGCTCATGACTTGTTTGAGGAAACAAACAATGGTTCTTGAAACTTAGACGGATTTATCTCTTTTTTCTGTAAATATCAGTCTTCTTTCAAGTCCGGGTTTGAATTCGCTAATTTCAAGAGTTCAAAACATTTAACAGGCCTGAGCGCCTTAAGGCATAGAGGCCAAATAACTAACATTTCGTTGGCCAGTCGATTTCAAGCAGGCATTGCTGCATTTGCGGCACATGGACTGGCTATTAGCTGCTCTCTTGGCGCGGGCATCTTCTTTTATTTGTGGTCCTTTTGGTGGCGATTGTTCAAATGTGGGTTGAACTGTCACTTGATCAGCAAGCTGAGATGGAGAACTTGTCAGCAATATATTTTGTTCAACTGCTGTCAGGCGGGAGTCGAATCGATGCAAAGAGTAGCATGTGAAAGCTATAGAGCCTAATGTCAGAACTAAATTGATAGAAAGGCCAAGCACAAGAGCCTGGGACCTTTTATTTGTCTTGGGCTCCATCTTCGCGCATCACTTTCTGAATTAGGCGGAACGGATGGCTTACTGCCAAATACCATAAGGATATCTTAACATCAAGCGTTAGTTTTCGATATCGGATTAACTTTGGTGCCAATAGATCGTTTAACGGTTTCAGGTGTCGCTGTTTTTTCAGTGACCAGTTTACTTATGCGCAGTGCAATAGTGAACCAGGGAACATTACTCTACGACAAGAAAACAGTTTTTAATCAGTCAAAAAGTTGTAAAACGTTTTAATAGAAGTAGGCCTCTTGCGCTGTGCCTGCAGAGTTAGTCTTAGTCATAGAATGAGGTGAAAAGGTAAAGCGAGAGTCCCTCACAGGTCTTACAGGAGGTTTATGCATCTTATTGGGGTTTAGATCAATTCTACTCTGAATAGGGTAGCATTCTTTCACTTAAGGGCCGGGTCGCATTGGGCCAATTCAAACAGTTTGAAATGTTTGGCAAACTACAAATTTTTTCTATTTTTTTTATGATTTTTCATTTTTTTTTACGCTTAAAATTCGATCTTAATATGTTAGTTCTTGCCGTTAATAAACTTTAGACCCCAAAATCACACACAGTACGCTTGTGCTAACTGTGGCCAAACTAGACAAGCGGACTAATATATTTTTCTCCCGATGACATTTTATTCAGACATACTCCCTATCACGACAGCTAAATGGTTAAAGAAAACATGAATGTTTGGGGTTTCTGCCAAAATTTGGAGGTCTCAGAGGTTCTTTGAAGATTGGCGAAATTTGGCGAATTGCAAAAATTTGGCAAGTTTTTCAAGCTAGGGGTCGCAACTATTTAATACTACTTGTTGATAGATTTTGTCACGTAAATAAACAAAAAAAGCGCCAGCGTGACCCGAGCTTTCGACTCCAATAAAAGTGAGGCCATAACGTCTTGCTGAGTGAGGAGTGTAACAAAGGAATATGTACGACCTCTTAGCCCACTTCAAAGTCTCCCGAGTTTTATCTGATGTTCTTCATAATATATAATAATAATAATAACACCTTTATTTAGACACGATAATGTTTAAAGCTGAGCAGCTTGTGGGGTCGTGTGTAAATGCAAATAAACTCTAAATTAAATAAATTCAAATGATGCTGGTTTTTGAGGAGAGGGGAAAACCGGAGTACCCGGAGAAAAACCTCTCGGAGCAGAGTAGAGAACCAACAAACTCAATCCACTTATGACGCCGAGTCCGGGAATCGAACCCGGGACATATTGGTGGAAGGCGAGCGCTCTCACCACTGCACCCCTAAGCCAACCCTGCTCCCCCTTCGCCTTGGCTATTGTTTATTTCGCAACATCTTCGGTCGTTCAATGCTTGGTGATGATTTCCTCGGATTGCTTCGAAAGTTACTCGATGTTAGAACGTGGTTACACTATTTCCCGGAGGTTTATTTCGGAAGACTACAGAGGGCGATAAACACCTCACAATCATTTTCGGGCGGGGCGTGAAAAAACAAAGCTTTACGTTGCAGAAATATGTGCTGTGAAAAGTGCGCATCATGAAAACCTAGAGAAAAATTTTTTGTCATTGAAGAGAGAGCATTTTGTCGTTTGAATCAGCGAGTTATGCACGGTAGATCCAAAGATACAATTTTTTCAGTTCCCACCGTGACACCACCGAAAGATAATAAACATATTTAAATAATTTCGCAGTAGCGTCTCCTACACGTAACTGTAAAAAGACTTTTTCTTGCAGAATTATGTAAATAGGATTAATCTACACATCCTGTAAACCTTGAAGAAAAATTTTATATAATCGATAAGGGAATATTTTACCATTACAATTAGCGACAAATACTCCAAAGAACCGCTAAATTTGCAAAGCGAGCAAGGTTCGAAATACGACTCCCTGATTTGAACAGGGTGATCCTATTCGATAATATGATGGAACGATGGAATGGCGAAATAAGCTACAATGCAGAATGCCTTGTTGTATGAAGAAAAAGTCTCACAAAAATGGAATTGCAATGAAATAAGAAAATAATTTATCATAACAGGCAAAATTGCAATTAAAAGAAGCTTAGTTTTATCATTAGTGGAGCAGTAAAGGATAGACCGATAGAGGAAAATGAGGTTCTTGCGCTAGCCCTTATAAGTTATCATTACTTTGTTATTGTGATCATTATTATTACCAATATTATTATCATTGTTAATATCATTCGGAGCCTAATTATTTGTTACCATTTAGTTATTGGTCGTTTCAATTAGTCACTACGATAATGATGATGATGATGATGATGATGATGATGATCGTTTAATTCCATACTCTCGCAGCTAGGCTGAATTACAGTATGGGTCAGTATTACATAGGTACAACATTAATTAAATATACATCTTATTGATAGCGAACAGTAACGAGATTATTAAGTCTGTCTGTGGTCCCCCTAAACCGATCTACTCGAGCATTTCCAGTTCGCAAAGAATAACCATGATGGTGGACCTCAGTGGCGCGAGGAAGGATGTGACTTCTAGGTTCAGTCCTCCTCGCCCCGGCCATGAACCTGGAAAACAGTTCAGCTCTGCGAACCACGAGGGGTTGCAGCCGAGCCTCACTAAGGCCAGATCCATAGTCAAGACGGGGGAAGATTATCCTAAGTGCTTTCCATTGTACTGACTCGACGAGCTCATCATTAAGGTACTCAGGAAGGTATGCCCAAACAGGCGCTGCGTACTCCAAAACCGACCGTATTACCTATATTCTTGAATCATCTCTCTCTTGCGGAACAGGATGCTCTTAGATATGTGGGATGCGGCAACAGTAACATCTAGTTTCGACAATTATTTTTTAATCCTTAAAGTAAACAGCACTTGGCAAAACAAACTGAATGCTCAAAGCATTCTTTTCTTACGAGCGCTAATGGCGATCTACTGAACATCAAAAGGAACCTGACATGGAATCGAGACATTATCGATTATTATCCTTCGTATTTCCCAGCATTCACCGTGGTTGCTGCTTTATGCGAGGCGCGGGAGAGTGAAATAACACATCCTGATTGCGTGAGCTACTCACATTGTTTAAGCAGGTAAGTAATGTGTGACTAGTCGGCAATTTGACGTTCCAGATGGCCTCAGTATTGGTGGAGCCGTTCTTGTCCTTCACTGTAACGAAACGAAACTCTTTATTCGCACTATTTCAAGAGGTTACTACAGATTATGAAAGTTAGAATATATAAGAAAGAGTAAATTACATCAATAATCAAAAGTAAAATGTGGGCCATCAGCTAATGCGGTAAAATGGCCTAAGCATTTTTTCACTGCATTACCGCAGTAGGGTAGGCTTAGAAAGGAACCTATACGAACCATACGAGTAGTACACCCGATAAATCTCACCCATCCCACCCCAGGGGAGGACATTCATCACACAGTAATCTCGTGCGCGCGAAATTAACGTCTCCTACCCCTAACCCTGTAGGAGACGGGACCTCCATTTATTCGTCCCTATCCGAGAAGACTAGAATATCTAACCATTTCTTGGTGTTATAGAAAGGTAACATATTCTTCTCAATTATTTTAAGACCTTGAGTGTTGGTCCGGCCGGGGCTTGAACCCTCGACCTCCCGCACAACAGTCCAGCGCTCTATTCATTGAGCTAACCGGGAGGCGTGCTCACTTTTCAAACTACTTGGGGCTGGTTATAGTGTTGTAGTAGGTGGTCTGCTCCTTCCATTACTTGCCGCATACTGTAATGTACAGCTCTCCAATTCACTGCCCATACCGATCGCATGGACCATGACACTTTATCTTGCTGTTGACCCCCAAACGTAACTGTAGTGATGTAGTTGGCACTGGCGGCATGGATCCTTGGCATGAATGCAACAGTGGCCTGCGGGTCATTTTCCCACAAGCTGGAAACAGAGTTTTCTCGAGTAATAGTCTCAAATCGTGCCAGAGGAAGTAGTTCTCTTGCGATGTTTCAGCAGAACGTTGTTACAAGTGTTTGAAATGAGATGCAAAGGTAAATCAAGAGACAGACGGGTGCACATGGGATAAACACACAAAAAAAATATTCTACAATAAAAAAATTTTCTTTCCTTTTTTTTTTGTTGAGTCAGAAGAAGAAACTCATAATTCACCGAAAAGGGTGACTTATTTTCTCTTTTCTTATTTCAATGCCTCTCTGTATTTTTTTGTTTGTTTGTTTGTTTGTAACAAAGCCGCACAAGTGCAGAGCACACGGTTTTTTAGGACCAGCTGTCGTCAACCCATTTCTACACACGTCACCTCTTAATGTGGTTTTCTATATAGGATCACGTTAGCGAGGCCGGATGGGTCACATGATAAATAATCTTATATTCGTTTAAAGACTTGCCTTAGAAGTTTCGCAAAAGGGTTTCGTATCCTGCTTTCTGGTTCAATATTTCATCCATTGATTCCGCCATTGCCAAATAGCATTGTAATAGCATTTTTTTAAATGCATTCGTCAAAATGAAACAAAAGTAGTACAGAACATTTATAAAATTTCTTGATCAGAGCAAAGAATCAACATGCCAATGGGAGACGAACTACAAATTGATGAACAGTGGCTGAAGAACTATGGTGAAAAACGAACAAAAAATGGTTCAAATCTAGTAGACTTTTGAATAGGAGAGATAGATTGAAAAAAATTCTTGGCAATAGAAAGGGAACATAACCGGGGAAGTTGACGTGACAAGTCCATACTGTGAACAACTCCTTGTAAAACTTTTCGAAACTTAGTAGGATAAGAAGTTGTAGAGAGGGATAAACTCACCATCTTTAGCGTTGAAATCCTACATGCCATCTTGATCTGACAGAGTTAAAGAAAACGTTATATACAAAATTTCTCTCATCATTCCCTTTATTAATTGTCACAGACACAAATGAAAATAATCCAACGATCTAGGTCTAATGCGTCGCAGGTCTCACGACGGCTACAATCACTTCTAGACCCATTTTGGTTATTGATTGGGTTGATTATGGTGCTGGGGTAGGTGATCTTGTATCCCCATCACTTGCAGCATGCTGTGATATGAAGCTCTCCAATCCACTGTCCATACCGGCCGCATGGATGGCCATGACATTTTATCCTGCTGTCTCCAAACGTGGCTGGTTTGATATAAACGGCACTAGAGGCGTACATCTTCAATGCTCGCATGTGACCTGCGGAGCGAAGGAAGCCCGTTGGACATGGTCCCTTCGCAAGGATGCAGTAGTGACCAGGGGGCCATTTGTCTACAAGAAAGAAACCAATTCAGTTTGCTCGAGTAATAACTGTAAATCGATCTGGAAGAACTAGTTCTCTCGCGCTGTTCCTGCAGAACGTTGTTGTTTGTGTTTATCAAAGGGCGCCTGTGGCCAACTCGTGGAAAATAGGGAAACAAAATTTGATAAAAGCAGCTGGCTTGAAAAAAAAAATGTATTGCTCACCAGGGTTCAAAATAATAAATTTCAATTTTTAGCGAAAATCTGTGAAGGCTTATTTTTTTTTACCGGCTGTCAACAGTAAATGAGCAGCCACTACTTGTCTTCAACACTCAACATAATTAAATTGCTAAAAAAATTTCAGCATCAATATCGTTATTTTTATCAACATGTTTCGTTGCGGCAGTTCCCTTTCTAACAAAGCGTAGTGAACGGCTCAATTTTCGGTGTTTGTTCAAGCGTTTGTTCAATCACAAACCCTTCGTGATTCTCGCTGCTCCTCGTTATGCTAAGCGCGTGGACGACTCGAAGATCCTTCAAATTTTGGTCTTTAAGTTGATCTAACACTAATCTGAAACATTCCAAGTCCATTTCAATTTAGCAAATGTCGAAACAGCCGTGTAAAGGCGATAAAAATTGCAACGATCGATGCAATCACAATGGCGCCAGGACTTCGGACTTCTTCGGAAGGATAGATCTCGAGTTCGGAGCCGACTAATTATGACTAATAACGAAGAGTCAATTTGCACATCCCAATTCGCACATCCCAAAGTGCTCACAATAACTCGTTTCTACGCTATCGCTTACCCTCGAGTTAAAAATGAGGTGAAAAGGCCAACGAAGAGTCAGTTACCGGGGACACTTCTTTTTGTGAATCTTGAAACAGCTCAGTATGAAAGTACGTTTTCAAGTTTGTCATCTGCAATTTGGTATAATCTTTTCAATCCTGAACCATTTTGTTCGTTATTTTGCGTGTGCATGAGTGAGTGTGTGTTAATATTGCCTTTTTTGTGTTTCATCGGTCTATCGAACGACTATTTTTCAGCTCTCGAGGTTTGAAAGTTTTCTCAGTAAGGTGGAAACACAACATCGTGACACTGAAGTCCTAGCTGGGAGGTGTGAACATTGGATTTGCTTTGGACATTGACTATGCAATTGGGTAAGAACTTGAGCTTGAATTTTATGAATGTGTCATTTTTTTTTTAGTTCTTTGCGTTTAAAAACTTTCAAATTCTTAAAACAAATCTGTCTCTTTTAATCTACCAAAACATCTATGAATGCGTCATCCTTGTCTCAAACCAGTACGAAACGGCAGGCCCGTCGAATGCTAGTTAAAAACGCGAACGTACTTTCTTTTCCAATCAGAAGAAAAAAGAATCAAATTCTCCACGTCGTGTAAAATATGCAGCAATCTCAAGTGCAACAAACGAAAAATTCGCGACAGAGGAGTGCACACTTACTAATAGCTTGCTTTAACAATTGCTTTGTTCTATGGAGGTCGTTCTTAACACTTAGCAGCAATGCCTGTTGACCATGGAGATAGCTTGCTAATGCAGGCAAACATTGAGGTATTCCCTAGATGAAAAAGAAAAAAAAAGGGAAACCACAAATAAAACAAAAACTATCAAATATCTCGCCATGATGTTTTTGATGTTCAGATCAGACCTCATTTTCGCTGACACCTCCGAGATTCTTAATCATACGAATTCGTTATATCATGATGGTAGCCATTTTGTAACAATGATGATCAATTGCATGGGATTTACAAACTTGCCATTTAAACGAGATTTATTCAGATCTCATACTCACATATCCATAGACGTGAATAGAATGGGCGAAGAGGAAAGTGACCAAAACTGCGAGGGTGAAGGCAAACTTCATGTTTTCTCGGTAGTCACGGAACAAACCCGGCTCAGTTATTTACGAACTGTATCGATAGACAACAAAATATCCCACAAAGGAATGATCTCCGCCCTCTATATCGCTTCCTCATGGGAGAGAAAGGTTTGTATTTACTAAGAAGTGTTGGTAGATGAACACTTTTTATGGGTTCACATTTGAACAGCTTGTAGTGTTTAACTTTCGAATTAGCTGGTGGGCGAAAAGTGCTTGTAGGGCTAAAAAGAAAAACCAACAACAACAACGACTTGTGATCGGCAAACATTTACAAAGCGAGACTAACCAGCTATCATGATGAACGGGATCATCTTTACAATGTTTTTTGTATTTTTTCTGTTTTTTTTTTCCTCGTTAAGCTTTCATTTGTTTCACAAAAAAAAAAAAAAAATTGACGAAATCTGTTTTACATTTCTAATGATTTTCAGAATTGCCAATGCGATTGGTTGCTGGGGAACAAAAAAAATTTAAAAAAATTGAATGGCAAGGTTTACCCTAGCTTGACTATTGAACTGTCATTTATAGTGAAACTTGGAACAGATGAGAAAACGAAACGGCAATTAGTCAAAACAAAACAAACAGAAAAAAGAAATTTAACAGCAATAAAATATTGGCATATGATCTGTAATTCATTAGGGTGGGTCAGCAGCGTAATTTGGTTTATCAACAAATTTGATAATACGATGAATATATGAAGTTCATATATTTTGAACTGCGGTTATAGATACGTATGATGCACGATCCTCGCAGTAGACAGCGCTATTTATGCAATAGCGAAAATCAGACCTGAAAAAAAAATCAGGTCTGTACGGGATTCGAACCACTCT